CAATTGAAACTCGATATAAACTCAATGTCTAATGAGTTTGACCATTAGAAACTCAATTTTGATTATATTGAATTTACTCATTAGGAATGCAATTGAGACTGATCATAAGAAACTCAATATCGATTCTATTGACTTTACTCACTAGGAATGCAATTGAGTTCGATCATTAGAAACTCAATATCAATTCTATTGAATTTACTCAATAGGAATGCGATTGAGTTTGGTCATAAGGAACTCAATTTCGATTCTATTGAATTAACTCAATAGGAATGCAATTGAGACTGATCATAAGAAACTCAATATCGATTCTATTGACTTTACTCACTAGGAATGCAATTGAGTTTGATCATTAAAAACTCAACATCAATTCCATTGAATTTACTCAATAGGAATGCGATTGAGTTTGGTCATAAGAAACTCAATTTAGATTCTATTGAATTTACTCATTAGGAATGCAATTGAGACTGCTCATAAAAAACTCAATATCGATTCTATTGACTTTACTCACTAGGAATGCAATTGAGTTTGATCATTAGAAACTCCATATAAATTCTATTGAATTTAATCGAGTTTGGTCATAAGGAAGTCAATATCGATTCTATTGAATTTACTCATTAGGAATGCAATTGAGTTTGGTCGTTTGTGGATTACTGCACCCGTGTGCACCGAACGATTATTGCTTGTACCAATGTTTTTCTATTAAGGGATAGAGTCGAATGACGTCGAAACACTGTTTATCATCTATGAGACATTCAAGGAGGAAATAGAAAACTGGGAACCTTAGTAGATGCTGAGGTGGTCACCGGTCAAATGAATACCTTTCTTATGTAGGGTATATAAGGCGGTGGGGTAGTCAAGGGAGTACGATTAGTGGGTTGTGAGTGCTTAGTTACGATGTTTGTGTTCGTTTCCTCTATGTGCTTTGTTTCCTTCATGTTGCATGCTTTAAAGAATTGTGAAAAAAAATTCTCGACCAGAGCAATTTTTTCTAAATGCAGTTGCAATAAATTCTATTGAAGCACGTTGCAATAATTCAATTGAAAGTCAATTGCAATATTTTTATTAAAACTCAATAGCAAAAGTTCTATTGAAACACTATTGCCAAAATTCAATTGAAATGCAATTGCTAAAAATTCAATTAAGACTCAGTGGCCAAAAGTCTGGGCGGATCAATAGCGACTCAATAGAAAAAGTCAATTAAGTTTCAATTGAGACTGAATGAGGTCTATTGAGTGAGTCCTTTACACTTTCAATTGAAAGTCAGTTCATTTTTTTGTAAGGGGGACACAGTAGGACGCACGAGGACCGTGACACAGCACTATACTCGCAACTGCTATTCAAGTGTAATGTGCTTAACCAAACGTTGATAATTTATAATAGAAACCAGCGTGTGTATCTACCAAAACTAAGAGAAAATTAGGTGTGCAAACATGCAGCAGAATAGGGTTGATTTAGGGTAAATCGAGCTGCTACCTTTATCAATCATTAAAAAGAAAAAGAAAAACATGATTTATGATGTACGCTAAGAAGGTCATGGGTAGTTAACCCCGTGAACAATATATATAACGAAACTTTTTTTTGATGGTCAACAAGGTAATCACTTTTTCCCCGCAAGGTCACGCGTCATGTATGGTGGTTCTTCTTAAAGTTATTTGATTTTTTTTTTAATTTTAATTCGTTCGTTCTCCTCCCCCTCTCCCTCAACCCCTCTCTCTTCCCAGAAAAGCAAACAAGCAACAAAGAACGTATAAGATTAAAAAAAAAATTTCGCCGTAAAAGCAGAGTTTTTTTTTCTCACGAAGAATCAACGCACTTCACGCCTTACACTTCCAAAGCTCAATGATTCTAAAGCATGTAACAAAAAAAACAAAAAAAAACTCAAATTCAAAACGCATTTTTTGTGCAAGTTGGATTGAGGGTCAAACAATAAAACGACAAACAGAAAAACAACATTAAAGGGAAGAAGTTTTAACAATACACATGGACCATTCCCTTGTTTACAAAATGTAACAGGTCAGCGATCTATCAAAATAAAAAAAATAAAAAATAGTACGGCTGCTCCAGGTTGTTTTTTCGTCGGGCGACTAAAGCGCCCGTCAACATCTCGAAGGACAGCTGCCAAAAAGCACTTTCGAGGTACATCGTGCCGAAGCCGCACCCTAACGATGGACCGATGCGGACACTACGGGAGTCATCCCAGCCAATCCAACGTCGCGTGAGAGCCACGTGACCGCTTAATCACGTGGTGCGCTTGCAGCGCTGGATTAGCTCCACTGGTTCGTGACGTCCGTTGCAATTCGTCGCGAGGTGGCGCGGAGTACTTTGAAGATTACACGCACCATCTCCAGAGAAATTGAGTTTCGAACAAAAGAAGAGCAACGAGAAAAAGATGGAATTAAAACAAGAAAAACACGCGACAACCACGCAATTTTATTAACAAACTAACAAATATATATTTTTTTTAAGTAAGAATTGTCTGGCTGCCGCTTCCAGCAAGAAAGTCTCAAAGGTTCAACGAACCGACACAAACATAATAAAGCAAAAAGACTGTCGGGGCGAATGGCGGACTTTAAAATTTTTAAGTACTTTTATTTCTATAGGTTTTTTTTTCTCTCTCTCTCTCTCGCTCAATACGTGAGCTTTTGCTATGCAGGCTAGTTGACGCCGACCAACAAACAAATATACAGATACAAGAACAAAGACGAGGCTAGGATCCTCCTTGACGAGCACAGCAGTCACGGCTGAAGTTCGTCTGCCTCGGCGCTGCAGGGAGAGGCCGGGCGGTTTCGTCTATTGTCGACAGACAACGGAACCAGAGCCAACCGGTTCGAAGAAGATACCGGGAATTTAACATCCACGCGGGCTGAACCCAAACCCGTGCGACGACTTAGCGGTTGGCATTTGAACCCCCCCCCCCCCCCCCCCCTCCCCGTACCTTGCGACAGCTGCAATGCAAGTTACTGTCCGGTGTGTTTATTGTCTTCTTTTTCTTTTTTTTTTTTCTTTTTTTATCTCGTGTTACATTGCTCATTTACACTTTTTTTTTTTTTTGCGCGCGCGTTTTGTCATTCTGATATTTTACCGGGTTTAATGCGGTACTTTTTATGCGTGGATGATTATGATCTCATAAAAGTGCCAAGTGCGAACTAAAATGTGAACTTCACAATTCTCTTTTGGTCGACAGCTTCTAGGAATTATGCTTCAGAAGGTCCCATATAACTAAAGCATAAGGAGATAACATGAGTAGCATGAAACAGCAAACATGATCCATGGCCTCATCATGGTGGTCATGGTTATGGTAAAACAATTTTTAAATACTTTTCTTTTATGATTTAACAACTATTAAAAAAAATTTAAATAATTTATTGATATTGTGGGCATCTCAGAACGAGGTTTTGCGATCATCACGATATTGTTAGACGAGGTATGAAGAAATTAAAGAATTGCGAGAGTTTTTTTTTTTTTTTTTTTTTTTAAATTTGAGGAAATTTAAAGCTTTTGAAAACAACCATCAACGTGTACCCCAAAATGTTGGCGCCACGTTATGCTAAAGTAATTTCTTTTAAGTTTTGCTGTAATTCTGTTTTTCGAAGCTGGCACAGTACTGGTAAAAACAATTCCAATTTTTAAGTTTTGAAAAAAAAAATTAGAAAAAAAAACAATCAGTGTTCAACATGAATTTAAAAGGTACATTTAATTTTACGTCTTCCTCAACCGTTGTAGGGTATATTTATTTATTTTTTTTTAAATTTTAGATAGGATGCAAGTTACATGACATAGTACCCACCTAAACCAGCCCAAGTAACGAACCAAACCTCGTCTTCTTATTCATGATTTGCGGGACAGATGGTGTTTATTTCAAGGATTAAAATCAAAGTAAAATAACCATAGTTCAGACTAGTCGTTAAATCGACCTTTCGTCAAATTCCCCTAGCACCAAGGAGAATTCTGGGAACGTAGGTACGCTCGCTGCACGCACTAAGTAACCGAAAATACGGAGTCGCGTGCAAATTGCCATTTGTTTCTAGCTTTTTGCATGAGTACAATCACTGCTGCAGACGCCAGCGCGTGCAGCGCGTCTAACTTCCCTCGCATCATGCCCCTTGGTGGGTAATTTATTAGCAAAAGGCCTATTGTTGACCGTAGAACAAGACGTCAATTGGTTAGCAGATGGAGGCAATAGAGGCAATTCAGGAAATTCACAATTCAGAAACATAACACTCGGCAAGTCCATTCAGGCAGGCTTTATATCGAGGCAGTGATAAGTAATGATTCCCGGGCGGTCATCTTCGTGAGCGTGTGTGCTGAGAATATTGCTGCGCAAGGTCGCAGCTCCCATCGCTTGCTGTTCGATTCAATGATCCACCGTCGTGATTCACGCCGAATTAAAACGAGCGTCGGATTTCCTTCCTTGAACTCAGGCAAACCCTACAGCCTTCCCGACAGTGTACACCAGGGAACTTCTGTAGATTATCGTATATAAACAATAGGCACCAGAAAAAGAAAAAGAAAATATTAATGGAACAACGAGAAAAAATTCATATCTCAATAACGAGCGACCGTCAGTCCAGAGAACTTCATTAACACCTTAGTATGGTTCCCCAGTATCCCAGAAAAAAAACCATTCACCATAGTGGTAGCGCCGCAAAACACGAACCAAAACCGATATTACGTCCTTGAACTGCCTGCGTCCAATTACACGCAATTAACGCGGGTGCGAAGGCAGACACACACACACACACACACACACACACAAAATGATCATTACTAAAGCTCAGCCTATAAGCGTTCTGCGCGACAATAATATAATTGAAACTGTAGGCAGTTTTCTCGCGAACACTCGCTGGGGCTCACTTTGCCGCACGTTCCCCTCCCTCTTCCCCTCGCCTTCTTTCCTCCTCTCTCCCGCGTTCAGTGACGTCACGCATACCACGTGACGACGCCGAGCCAATCGCGTTCGGTTCGGACTTCTCTCCATCTGCCCGGCGCGCCGGTACAATACAAAACCGAAACCGCACGCTTGAAGCGCCGGCAATCTGAGATATCCTGCCGCGGCGGTTCGACACGGAACAGTCGCTGCCTTTGGCAACGCCGCAGTATTTTTGTTCTTAACTGTTTTATAGTTTAACTGTTACTAGCGGTTCTGATAAGTCTCCGAGACTCAACGATTCCACCCGGCGCATTTTTTGTTCGGCGCTCGCGTTTTTGGGTGCTGTGAAAGTGCGTGACCACCTGTTTGGAGGAGTCCGATTTTTTTTTTTTTTTCTGTTCATTGTTTAAATTATTTGTTCGACGTCGAAGCCACGAAAATGTTGGACGGATTCAAGATCAAGAATGCTGTTATTCGAGAATCTCTCGCCGAAATGCTGGGAACATTCATTCTTGTGGTGAGTCTATTTCTTATACGAATACAACTTTAATTAATATTGATTTTTTTAATGCATACGCAAAATTCATTTATTTAAATTATACATAATAGCAATAGACCCTGTGCATTTTCTGGATATTTATGTACGTAAACCGCGAAAGAAGGAAAAACAACATTAATTATCCTGCGTCTGTTGACCTACACTCTAAAAAAAAGTCCTTGCGTCTACTTTACCGCAAAACACTCGGAGAGCCAATCATCGCCACTTACGGAGGCAGCTCAGCGAATGACGACGTCGAAACATCGTTTAGACCAAAAAAATGCAGTCTAAGTTGTGACATTAAGCAATGCAAAACGTCACGCTTGCATTGCTTAACGTCACAACTCAGACTGCATTTTTTGGTCTAAACATGTTTCGGCATCGTCATTCGCTGAGCTGCCTCGGTAAGTAGCGGTGATTGGCTCTCCGAGTGTTGTGCGGGAAAGTAGACGCAAGGGCTTTTATTAGAGTTAATGCATGTATCTTCATTACTTCGTGATTTGTTTTAGTGCTTTACGAAGATTTATTTTTTGCTATTTTTCACTTGCTTTAAACTATTAGTTCATATATGGAATACAATGTAATAAATGCTACATGAAAATTCGCCTTTTGTGAAGAATTAAGAGAAATGTTTCGTAGCTCGTACGTTATGTCGTAATTCGTACGTTATGTCGATGCGTAGTAACAGCCCATACAATTTTATTAAAAAGAACACCTGTTTTGTGCATTCTGCTTTTTTATTAAGTATGGGTAGTGGCTATTCTCCCGGCAACCGGGAAAATAATTTCCCCGAATTTCTTCCGGCAGTCGTCTCTCTGGCCCAGCGACAGCTCAGATTATCTTTTTTTCTGTAATTAGCCGCCCCACACTGTCACTACGAAGCGGCGTGCCTGGGTGGGCCACGTCTGTTAGCATTTTTGTAATGAGGCGCCGCAGAGTGCCATCGCGAAGTGGTGTGAACGCGTGGGCCGGGAGGGTTCACACGCGCCCCAGTAAATACAGGCGCGACGAAATGTTCCTATACAGCGTGCAGTTCACGTAACGATTGTCAATGAAGTGTCGTGTCGATGAAGTGTTAGTGTCGGCGAAGCGTTGTGTCCATGAAACTTGTATCCGCGAAAAGTTGTCCATGAAACAATGTGTTTTCATGAAGCGCCGGGAGAATAAGAAAGCCAGGATCCTAGCGCCGCGTGTCACATGATTTCAGAGAGCTCATGGGAGGCAACTGCCGGTAGAATTTCGGGAAATTATTCTCCTGGCTGCCGGGAAGAATAGACACTGCCTCGAATATATTTGGACGAAAAGCCTGGGCGTAGCACCCACTCAAATTATATTTAAAAATTTGCATGTTCAATTCAAATATCGCTATGGTCATAGAGATATCGCGAATAAAATATATAATAGAACGTAATGGTAAATTGTTGCAAAACAAGAATTAGGAGTATGCAAGATATACTGAAATGAATTTATTACATAAGATACAGACTAAGCGAATTTGAGTTGAAGAAACAATTCTAAAAATATAATCACTAACAACATAAGAATTAGGAGAAAAAAAACACAGAGCGCGGTTTTGCCATGATTCCGCTCCATGTTTCGTGAATATTGCACAGCTCTGAGGAACGCGTCGTAGTGAACTATGAAATATTAGAAGATGAAAACCTCTTCTACGCGGTATACAACAGTTCGCTCAAAGGGGCGATCAATGGCACATATACAATAACGCTACACCTATTGGTTAATTAAGAATGTGATTAAGCTTACCTTCATCTCTTAAGTTGAAAAATAAAATGAAAACGATATTTTCGAAATAAGGTTATTGACCAACTTAACAAATACAGAACACAGCTTATTACAATCACTCTTCCTACTCCGTGATCTGATTGGGTAGGGAGAAATAAGATACTCCAGACTGGCCACGATCCGTGTTTCCTAAGATTCGGAAGGTCTCTAAATTATCAAATAAAAAAAAAAGTGTTTCAATTATTATCAAGTACTGAATTACTTAATACTCAAACTAGGAACAGTCGGATCCTAAAAAATCTCAGTAAAACGTGTTTCTTTCTTATTTTTTAGTTAGCTTTGTAATGGGTTTGCTACCGCTTACCAAAGTAAATGAAAAAAAAAAATGGCAGCATATAAACTTAACGTACCTACAATTTCTGAAATGTAGTCTTTCAATAGTAGGCACCGGTCTAATATTTCAAATAAAAAAATAAAGTACGAAGGAGACCTTTATTGCGGAAAGAAACAACCCGACGACCTTCGCATCCACGCCACATTTTCCCACAGCTCCGGGGAACGAGGGCTATTTCTTAATGCGTCTTATTGTGTCCGTTCTGTCAGCGTTTAAGCGCACTTTGTTCCAAATAGACGCCGCGGCTGGCAGTCCGAATCGACCGGGGAGCTAAAAGTCGTGCCCGCGTCTGACGTATATATGTGTAAGCGCCCATTTCCCCGAAAACCGCGTAAATGATAAGTGGCGCGTATTGTATCGTCGTCCCGATAACCATGGTATGTATGACCAGTCGTTGACAGATGGCCATGCACGTTTCCTTCAATCCAGGGCGGGGGGGAGCCAATCAATCTATCAAACTGCCTGTTGATCGGGTGGTATTGTGAGCACGCTTCGTGCACGAAGCGGCGATAATCACATAGGCTATAGGGGGGAAGAAAAACAAAATGGGTTATTTGTATTTTGCGTTTTGGTAGCTTTGGTTCATCAGTTCCGTTCGCTGCTTTTTTGTCGAACTGCGATACGCTATTTATAAAAGATTATTTTTGCCGATGGTGATAAACTAAAAATACAAGCTTCAAAACCTCGGGAAGTGTACGTTCCGTTGTCAACTATACTGTTACTCATACTTTCTCGCAATTATCGTATTATAAACAATGTTTCAATATGTAAGTGCCGCCGATTACGTGTTTCTATTTGTTAAAGCTACATATACCCATAGAAACTGAATGGTTAATTAAATTGAAGGAGTGGTTTACAGTGTTCCCGCTGAAGCGATATTAAGATGCTCAGCATTTATCACGTCTCGAGTTTCTTAAACTGTCGCTGTCTAAAACGAAACAAAAAAAGCCTAGAAATAGAAATAAAAAAAAAGCCTTACGTTTGTTCTATTAAAACCTGACTTACAGAGTTCGCTAACCAATCTCGATAATGTAAATATTGTTAGGTCATCGACCTCGGAAGTTTCATTTGTAAAGCCAACCTCTCCCGTAGCCTCGGGCCTCAACTGCGAAACAGCGGTCATTGACCTTGCTGCGAGAACGTGCGGTCCAAAAGGACACATGAATGCAAAAAAAAAACCGAGTTTAAGTAATATTTTCAACAATTATATGATTATTTAACGCTGTGACTGTGAAGACACAAAGCTAGGCCTAATTATCACAAGGCAACCTAGCATCGAGTGGAATTTGTACAATATAGACCATTTTCAAACGTAGAGCTGCTGCGCCAATAATTCCGAGTCCGTTTTGAACCATGGTTAAAAGCACTAAAAAGACCAGATAGAAAACACGGGCTGTTAAATATTTTGTCTTTTTCGGCGCTTTTAACGATGGTTCAGAACGTTCATCACCAACTAGCCCAACAACAAGTTTTTTTTGTTTTTTTTATTCCGCATTCCGAGCATGTATGCGGAGTGCAAGTGTCGTCTGCTACTTGCACAGGGGTTGCGAAGATGTCAGAACGCCGAACTCATATTGGCTGATAAAAAAAAAAAAAAAAAAATAGTGCGTAGACCTCAAAGCATCGATCTAGCATTGAGGTCTATTATTCTTTCAATCAGAGCCCGGAGTCGCTCTGACGTCACCGCAACTCCTGCGCAAGAAGCAGACGACTTGCTTTCCGCATCCATCCAATGGATGGATGGATGCTAACGGCTTTACACCTTTTAGAACGGACGGTAGCTTGCGCCACCTAACCTAGAAATTAAGAACTCAAAAAATGACACCGTCAATGTTGCTCGATGTGGTTTGGAAAGGGTTTATTGCCGAACCAAAATACTAGACTGAATGAGCGCAGAGGTGATCGCTTGTTGGCGTTATGATTGATGCAGCGATCAATCGGTCGGTATTAATAGATACGGTGCTACTACCATTGTTCCCGGTTCCGTTAACGTAAATACATTGACTGCGCTTATGCTGATGCTACATCCACGGAAACATGTAGATTACTATCGGTCCGCGAATGTATTATAAATGTGTGTATACCTCACTGCGATCTCATTAGCTTCAGCGCAATTATAAAATGCGCGGAGCTCGCCAAGCCTCGCATTCTTTTTAAGGCTTTTAATTTGTGGGTGATATAAATTGAACTGGTAAACTTGATTTCCTCCAACGGTGGATTATCTCGCTGCTATGTTTATCAGATCGATCAATCGTGCGTTTTATTCCGCCCACATACACCCGGTGGGCCTTACGAGTGTGGAGGAATTAAAATGGCTGCGTCTATTGAACCAACTTTAGGGCGCGGCTACGCGTGTGCGAAAAACAACTTTACTAACCCGCCACACCGAAAAAAGTAATATATATATATATATATATATATATATATATATATATATATATATATATATATATGAGTCGTGTGCGCGTCTGCGACACCTTACCAAACCCTAACGTGTTCTTGTGCATCTATACATGCCGCGATCGACACCTTACTATGGGGAGCCGATCGCCAGTGCTCACTCAGAGAGTGACTCATTTATTTCATATGCGCAGAAGCAGCTGGCGTGGTTCTTCGGTAGCGCGCTCCCTTCAGAAATCAACGGACCCGGGATAATTGATCATGAGAAAACCGCGGCGGGGTTATTGGGGGAGGTTGTTTTTTTTCGAGCATTTGGCAATATCGAAGAAAGGACCTCCTACAACTACAGAATTTTGAGTGAGCGAGGAGAGTCCATAAACATACGAACCCGGAAAGGTTTGGTTATGCGCGGCTGTCTGTTCGAAATATCCCGCCATGTGTA